TTGAAGAGATTACCCAGCATTCACTGCCATATAGAAGAACAAATATTAAATAAAAGTTCAGTACTCTTTTTTTTTCTTTTTTGGGGTCAGAGAGCAGCACGGCAATTGTGATGCAAATAACTGAGGCAGAATATATCCATTAGGCCGACCATGCTGAAAAGTCTATACCAGGGTCAAACATCACAGCCAAATGTGAGCAATGTGGCAACAGATGTTGATTAAAAGCGGCAGTAGTAAGAATCCAATTAGAAATACTTCCAGGTAGGATAATTCACTCTGCTTAGACGGTCTCTGAGTGACGGTGTTCCCAAGTATTTATATATGGCTTCAAATAGACTTCAATTTCATTCTTAAAATTTAAAAAAAAAAACGACCCTCTTGACACTCTCCAACTCATGAACACGGATGCACAATGTGTCAGACTCTAATCAGTGAAGTATTAATGTCAGGCAACTGACAAGCTAATCTGTAGAACTGAATGCGATATTTACTGTAGCACATATTAGTGCTTACCGTTCGGACACCTCGAGGCGGTGTAATAGTTAGCAAGCTTGTCTCGTTAGAACAATGACGAGTGAGCAGTGAGTTCGATCCTTATTGGGTACCGCATGTTTTTCGGCCACATCTAAGCTACGCTTGGAAAATCACTATTAGTGCTTACTGTTTATTCTGGACTGAATGTTGCTAAATACATTTATAATCCCAGTTCCCAAAGATTTTATGGTGCCACTTTAGCGTATGTCCTACCAATCAGTGTATCCTAACACCACATTTGTATCCTACATTATCTAACGTAAGAGGGAATGCAAAAACGGAAGAAGAGATGACATTTATTGTTGTATTATAGAATTTATGATAAAATAAGAAATTTGACTAAAATTCATAAAACAATATATTTGTATCCTTTAAATAAAAAAAAAACATGCTGAATGCCTTTTAATATATCGAGTAAAAAGGCGGGACAATGCGTTAATTAATGTAGGATACGAATGTGGTTGTCGGATACACGCTAAAGTAGAAACTGATCCGTAAGACATACGCTAAAGAGTCGCCGATTTTATTTTAACTTGGAGATTTTTTTGTAGTATAAGGTCTTCAAAAATTTAAAACATTTTTTCTTGTAATTATATTGTTCATAAGTAAATGATTTATGCTAGTAGAGAAAAGCCATTTGTTTTAATTATTAGAAAAAAAAACAAGCAATTCCTAACAGAATATGTTCTAATGTAGCTACGAGCAGAAATATCACTTTGACTAGTTAACCTATGCGATAGGGTCGTAGTTATATGCCAGAAATACGAATTTATGCGTCAACTTATTTGTGCTTTCCAAATAAATACATAAATAAATAAATAGTGGATGTGTGGTGGTTAAATGGATATCGGCTTCGAATAAGAAGTTAGATAGCTGAGTTCGAATTCCAATCGAGTTCCTTGCATTTAATTACGCAAATAACCTTGAGAAATGTGTGAACCCTTCGCTTCTAGCTATGGGTTAATAGCAGGACAGACTGGAACCTATAGCTTTAGTTAGCTAGGAGAAGGAAAACTGAATTAAAACCAACCTAGAGAGGGTTGTGTACCTTTAGGCTATTTTGCCCAAGACACACGGCTGTAGCACATATAGTGTTACGGGACTTGGGAATGTGATTTGTCTAAAAGTCTGCTTTATATTCATGTCTGACCAGATCAATATCATGACCATCCGGTCCGTCGTTCGAATCAATGTTTTATTTAATCTTCACTGGGAAATCGTATTACTTTCTCAAAATGCAATTAAATACAGATAATATGCAACAGAAAGCTTTTCATTAACTTCAAATAATCAAAATATTATTCCCCATTTCATTTTACCGCTTCAGCAATGTCGATAAGGTCATTAGATCATTGACAATTTGCATATATGAAATAGCCGTGCAGATAAATTGACACAATCAATGTTTATTATGTACATTTATACAGGAACACATGAAATAAACAGATATTGAAGAAATTAAAATCTTAGCAAATATACTCGACTATTTTAAATGCGTATTTTCGATCCGTGCGTGAATAACAATCGCATAAAAGCACAGAATGAATTAGAATGAAAGAAGTAACTACACTATTTTTAGCTTAGAAAAGCAAGCGTATAAAATTAATATTTATCAGTTCAGCTGAATCGAAAACATTGCATTGTATCAACTGCTAACACTGCTCCTGGGAAAGTCGCTTCGTTGTATCATACTAGACAGTTTTTTTTTTCTTATTCGAATAACACATTTACACATTTATAAATCCACCATTCGTCTATGCAGTGAAATACAAGAAAAGTGGATTTGGCTTATAAAACAACCAACGTCGGGGTAGACTACAACAATTTGAAAATGATGACGTTCAAATTCTTTTGGATGATGACAGCACCCAGTCAACGGGAGAATCGATCGAAAAACTAGGTATCGATATATTATTATTATTATTATTATTATTATTATTATTATTATCAGCATAATTATTGTTGTTGTTGTTGCACTATTACAAAAGGAATTATCGTAACAAAGTAGCTAAGACTTTCGTCGGTACCAGCTGATCTATAATACCTTAAAATGCCAAAAAATACTCCTATAATTAAAGAGCGGAAAACTACAGAAAAAGAATCGTAACTTTTAAAATACTAATATTCAGGCAATACCAGACCCAAGAGCCCCTCAGAGTAGAAGGTTACTGGGTGGTGTTGTATGAGCATAAGAAAGGACAAAATGTAAAGTTTACGGAGCTATGCAGGAAAGATAACGGCTAACCCAAGACGTGAAGAGTCCAAGATTGTAGTGATTGAGAAAACATCCTACCGGGAGTCTGTTCCACAAAAAGAGAGTTCTTTGGAAGAAGCTGCCCAAATGGAACGTGCTTCTTACTATAGTAATACGAAAGGAATGGAGATTATTCATACATGTATGCGCTGTATGTTAGGCCCCAATTGTAACGGTCAGGGATGGCTGGACTCATGCCAGGGAAATAGCGAGAGGCTCGTGAATTTTCGTCTGTGGGGAAAGTGGTTTTAGTGAAAATAATTCATCACCCACAAATCCGCGTAGACGCTTTTGAGCCTTATCAAGACAGGCAAGTGTAGACTGGGCAGCTCTAGCTCAGATACAATAGCAATAATCCATTTTTGGTCTGACCTGTCTCTTTGTAAAGATATCAAGGCTGTGTGAGATACTTAGTGGAACGCTACAATGAGCCGACCATTTACCCACCATCTTCAGCAATAAATCGGATATATAAGTTCTACGTGTGGTTCAGGGAGAGTTTGAGTTCCAATAGATGTTAAGTTCCTCCTTGAGAGAACCCCATCCATCATGATAGGTGAAAGTTCAGGGTCAGAACACATACCATAGAAACAGAACAGGGGTGGTAGGAAAAGTAAAAGGACAAATATTGTTTGGAGTTAAAAATGATATGCAGTTGTGGAGAGCCATAATGTCCTACCTAACTAGGTTGTTTAAATGAATGACAGAACAGAGAATGGGAGAGGTGGAAAAAAGACAAACATTGCTAAGAGCTACAAATGATAGGAAATTGTGAAGAGCCATGATCACTTACCTAACGAGCTTTAACTCGATGACAGAACAGAGAATGAGAGGGTAAGTAAAAAGACAAACATTGCTTAAAGCTGCAGATGATAGGAAGTTGTGGAGAGCCAAGATCATCCACTTCCTGAAGAGATAAAAAAAACAGTACATTGACTTGTTGCCGCGATAAACGTATATTTTTACATCAAGACAGGCAAGTGAAGACTAGGTAGCTCCAGCCTGATATGGCATCAATACTCAATTTTGGGTCTGATCTGACTCTTGTAACGAGTATAGCAAGGGGAATTAGATACTTACTGGAACAGTATTTAGTCCCCCCCCACCACCACCACCACGAAGGCATCATGTGGCACAAGGCCGGTTTAACGTGGGATCTCCGAGCCCGTGGGCTCGGCCAAAAATATGCCCTTTGGACCCGTATAAACGGGTTCAGGGTCGGTTTACCTCCCCGAAAGAGATTCCGCCCTTCGGCGTAGCTTCGTTCGGGTTCCTCCCCGCCCAAAAGGCAGAGAGTTCAACCGAACAGCCGGTCGCCAGACTTCAGACAATGAACCGACCATTTTCCCACCATCTTTAGCAATCGATCGGATATATGAGTTCTAGTTGTAGTGGTAGCGGAATGTTACTAGTTTGGTTTTGATGGTATTGCATTTTACCAGCCAGACTTTCCTCCCATTGAGCCACCTGGTCAGGGTCAGAGGTGAGATGAGTTGCTAAATTCTGGTCTTCCAGATTTTTAGAGGTACATCTATAAATTTTTCTATCATCCGCTTAGATACTCACTAAGGATCGGAACATTCTCTTAGACAGAAGATAAATATAATGTAGAAAGAGGGTAGAACCGAGTTTAGAAGTCTGTTTAATGCCGGCATTGATCTTAACGGCTTCAGATGACTGGCTGTTAACAAAGACCTCCAGAGAGCAACCTGTCAGGAAGGACTTGATAATTGAGAAAGTCCTTCCAGAGATACCACAACAGGATAAATTATATAGCGGCCCCGATACCACAACGTCTGCTGTATTTAGAAATTATTTATAAAATCTAAAGAATTCGCAGTGTTATCGGTCCTGACCTGGCATCTCGGCTTAAGCCAACTTCCCACTTCCATAACGTAGCAGCCATGTGTTTTTTCTATAAAAATTTTCATGGTAATTGTTCAGATGAGATTTCTTATTTGATACCTCCACTTTATGAATTTAAGCGCAGTACTAGATTGGCAGCTAGGTCTCATCATTTTACAGTTGAATGTAACCATAAGTTTTATGCTAACAGTTTCTTCTCTCGCAAGTCTTGCTTGTGTAACTCTCTTCCGACCTCTTGATTTCCAGTCAAAATAATTTAAATGCCAAGCCAAACGTTATCTTCTGTCTTCTTAATTCCTATTCTTTTATTGTTCTCTTTCCCTAATAATGGCTTACGGCAACCTCACATTAAATACCGGTTCCCGTACGATCAATGAAGTTAAGCATAGTCGAGACTTTTCAGTACCTACATGGGTAACCGCTTGGGAATACCAGGTGTTGTAAGCTTAGATGTGCGGGTGGTGTAACGAATAATAACTCAGATTTGTTAATCGGTGAGTTAACCGTTGGGTTCGTTATATTCACTTACGCGCAAATATCCTTGGGAAAGTTATGAATTCACCTTTTCTCTCCCCAGCTATGGGTTAATTAGTAACACATGTATCACTAAACTATTATTATCTAAAAAATATTCTTAGAGTCTCAAAAAACAAACAAACCTGGCTTTAAATAACCCACAATGGTTTAATAAGCCAAGAAAAAAAGTGATCAACCAAATCCTTAATAATGATTTTTTTCTTTTTCTCTTATTCTTTCTCACTCAGTGACCACACTCATCTTAGTGGCTTTATTACCTTGCTAGAGGGGAAATAATTTAAAAAAATGAATACAAAATAATGTAGAGATTATGATTAATCGTACATGAATTATTATTATCGATCCAAACAAACAGAAAATGACGATTAACAGACTAATTTTATTTCTCAAATGAAGTGTAGATACTACACTGTTGGTGACAGATAAATAAAAAATAAACTTACACAAAGTAAGAAAAGAAAACAGAAAGAAAAGACTAACTATTAATATTAAGAAGACAGAATTCATGGTTGTCAGCAAAAGAGACATTCCAAGATGCAAACTACATATTGGGGATATCAAACTCCAACTTAAGCAAATTATTAAAAGAAAAGAACATTTAGTTGGAAACAAGGAAAAATTGAATAAATGCTATGTAATATCTAATCTCTATCTATAAAAGACAGGCTGTGTGTGTGTGTGTGTGTGGCCGCAATTTTCGACGGATTTACACCAAAATTTACATACACATGCTCCAAGTTAGCGGGAAGGCCAAGACCAACTTTGCATTTCCCAACTCCCATCGATAGTGGAAATAATCGATTTTTTTCATGCTTCTACGGCAGTTTTCATGTAGTTTTCGGCCATTTTGTACTAGCCAGAGTGAGAGCCAATAGCTGGCTGCCACGAATAGGCAGGAAGATTCTATTGGCCAGCGTGAGCGCCAACAGCTGACTGACAGGAATGTTAACTAGCATGCTATCATGCAAAAAAATCGATAGCTGCATTCGTCACAAGTGGGAAAAATTTAAATCTGCATGGCACTTTACTCCAATTGGCTCATTCGCTTGCTTAAACTCAACGTTGATTCTGATTCCGCAGAACTGGGTTGGGTGTGAAAAAGTATTTGTTGTTAACATTCTTTTTTCATTCGGTATTTCCAGTTACGAGTCCTTATTTTAAAACTGATCGTTTTGTGTTCATTTTGTTTAGTTCTTTTTTCGTAACAGATTTAATGTTTAGTATACTAAACATTAAATCTGTTACGCTTAGAAAAAATTCGCAGTGTAAAATAGGCAAGAAGTAAGGCATGTAGCAACATCAGCACGGCAAAGACACTCCTTTAAAGGCAAGGATAGGCAAAAATATTTTAAGTCAAGTGATAGCGATTGCTGTATGAGCCGTACGATTTTTGAATCAAGCACGGACAACGCCGGGTCATGCTGCTAGTCTCTAATATGATAATGAACGCTGGATAATGTCTTCAGATATATAAAGAGATTTGAAATGGATGCGGAAAATATCATGGACAGAACATTTAAACAACGCGGACATTGACAGGAGAACGGGAATTTCTAAAAAAACTTGTACATACAATTAATAGGGACACATAATGAGGAATAACGGGGCACCTCGAGGCGATGTAATGGTTAGCAAGCTTGTCTCACTAGAACAATTACGAGTGAGTTCGATCCTCACTGGGTGCCCCATACATTTGGCCTTGTGCCACATCTGGGCAACGCTTGCAAAAGTGCTATAATGAGGAACAACGCCTGGCAAATCTGACGATATTCAGTCTCCCCACCCACTGCGGCAACATGTGACACAAGGTCGGTTATTTATTGTGGGTTCTCCGAGCCCGTGGGCTCGGCCCAAAAATATGCCCATTGAACCCGTATAAACGGGCTAAGGGCCGATTTACCTCCCCGAACGTGACTCCGCCCCTCGGCGTAACCTCGTCCGGGTTCCTAAACCGCCTGAAGGCAGAGAGTTCAACCGAACAGTCGCTCAGAACTTGAGCCACTGTCTCAAATCTGACACAGACATGGCATAATGAAGACTAAATAAACAGGAGAAACAGTCAGTAATCTCCTTAGGAGTTCGAGTCAGTAGATGGTAGAAGAAAGACAGAGGTTTATGTTAAAGGGGGCCAAAGGTAATTGTGTAAAGAAAAGACAGGAAGATGTGAAGAGCCATCATCACCAACGATCTGAAAGGACATGGTACATAAAAGAATAAAAATGAATTTAATCTTAATGAGCTGAATGAATAAGCCACTGCATGCACAACACAAATATCTGACTTACGGGGGAGATAATAATTTCATTTTAAAACTCTTTCGTGTTGGCATGACTCAGCCCAAACTGCATACAATATCAGATCAATGTAAACAAACACCAACTGAAGGTCAGATCCGTATACGCACACAAATACAAGGGCTCACTCCCAATGCCAAAGTCAGATATGCAAAGAAATGCACACTTATATATTCATAGATAAATAGACCAATATAAAATATAAAAACATAGATAGATAGATAGATGTCTCCAGACGGTGATAGATAGATACAAACAGTTTGTGATAGATAGATAGATAGATAGATAGATAGATAGATAGATAGATAGATAGATAGATGTCTCCAGACGGTGATAGATAGATACGAACAGTTTGTGATAGATAGATAGATAGATAGATAGATAGATAGATGTCTCCAGACGGTGATAGATAGATACGAACAGTTTGTGAGAGATAGATAGATAGATAGATGTCTCCAGACGGTGATAGATACATACGAACAGTTTGTGAGAGATAGATAGATAGATAGATAGATAGATAGATGTCTCCAGACGGTGATAGATAGATACGAACAGTTTGTGAGAGATAGATAGATAGATAGATAGATAGATAGATAGATGTCTCCAGACGGTGATAGATAGATACGAACAGTTTGTGATAGATAGATAGATACGAACAGTTTGTGATAGATAGACACGAACAGTTTGTTATAGATAGATAAATAGATAGATACGAACAGTTTGTGATAGATAGATAGATAGATAGATAGATAGACGTGTGCAGACTCTGATAGATATATACGAACAGTTTGTGATAGATAGATAGATAGATAGATAGATAGATAGATAGATAGATAGATACGAACATTTTGTGATAGATAGATAGATAGATAGATACGAACATTTTGTGATAGATAGATAGATAGATAGATAGATAGATACGAACATTTTGTGATAGATAGATAGATAGATAGATGTGTTCAGACTGTGAAAGATATATACGAACATTTTATGATAGATAGATAGATAGATAGATAGATAGATAGTATTATAATTCTGTTTGTCCCTCACTTTTGTTAGTATGACTGTTACACCCTGAGAATGCCTCATGAATAATGGACAATTACATTTTGGTCACGTGGAAACACGGAAAAGATGTATCAGAGACGCTGCTTGGTTTCACTTAGAAAATGAAAGAAAGGAAGGAAAGATAGAAGTATTTAATGCCAATACCTCACAAATAATGATCTATTTTGTTTTGAATATGTGGAAAAACGGAAAAGACATATCAGAGACGCTACTCGGTTTCAGTGCGAAAAGGAAAGAAAGAAAGAAAGAAAGAAAGAAAGAAAGAAAGAAGGAAAGATAGAAATGTTTCATGTCTTTTACAGTGAAACGGAAAAAGTTGTAAATTTCAAATATTTTCCTTTGTATCCACTTACTTCTTAAAATAACAACCAGCATTCATATTTGGGATTGCTATTGCAATATTCTGTTATTGCTAAGCTTAAATATTTAACAATGCGATAGGGGAAATCTATACGGATATTTTATTGTCGTAGAACTCACCATTAACTTATTCAATGATAAACTGAAGAATTAAGCTTCATATCCACGGGTTTGTCTAGTATATATTTGTTATATACCGTACATATGAACACTAATGGATATGTCCCAATCCTTATAAATACGTTGGTCACTATTGCAGTGGTTTACCTATTTCACGCCGCTGGCGAGTATTGTATTTTGTTAATGTTATAAAGATTACCATTTCATTTCCTACCTCCGTTTTGGTTATCCCATATTCAGTAACCCTTTCTAGGTTACAACACTATCTCTCTATCTCATCGTTGACATCTATTTCAGTGTTTACATCTATCTATCTATCTATCTATCTATCTATCTATCTATCTATCTATCTATCTATCTATCTGTTATATGAACACTAATGGGTATGTCCTAATCCTCATAAATACATCGGACACTATTGTAAGCGGGGGCAATATGATGTCTAAATAGTGCATCACTAGCAGTGGTTTACCTACTTCACGCCGCTTGCGAGTATTGTATTTTGTTGATGTTATAAAGATTACCATTTCATTTCCAACTTCTGATTTGGCTATTCCTTATTCGGTAACCCATCCTGGGTTAACAATAACATTATTATTATTATTATTATTATTATTATTATTATTATTATTATTATTGTTCAGAAAAGAAAAGAAAAAACACAGTATTTGACAATATTTCAACATTATGTCTGTCTTCATCAAGTTATATTTTTTTTTAAATTTCAAGCATAAATTTATATAAATCTACAATAAATTATAACAAATTATAAGTCTTTGTACAAACGTTGCTTCTCTCATAATGAAAAAAGAAACGGCTGTAATGGTAATCAACGTGTCAAAACGAAATAGCCACAACCAGTGTGAAGTGATGCAACTAAAACGTACTTAATATGATGGTGATCTTGCTGATCTAGTAATTTTCTTTTAGTTGATTAGTTACTCAGAGGAATTAATCAAACAGTATAAACCTTAAGATTGTTATTATTATTATTATTATTATTTCGGGCACATAATGTGTCCTGTCTGACTTATTTCCGAAATATAAGCGAATGTCTTGTGAAGTAAAGAATTCCAATATGCTTTTATGGGAATCAGGAAAACAACGACTCACTCTGGTAATTTAATTATTCTCGCACCAATGCTTCTGACCCGAAGATATACTTTTGCACACTTTGCGATTTTCATTTTTCCCTGCATTTCACCCCCAACCTTTTCCCGAGCAATTCCGATTAGAGAAAGTATTAACGCATAAAATCGCCCCCGAAATATTAGCAACTCTTCAAAAGACCTTAATTCACAAATGCGATTGCCGGCAAGCGAAACATAAGAAGCTAATATGTTTGAATGACAAACAACTGTTGTTGGGCAGGACGCACAAACATCGTCTGTCTGGGTTATTTTTTATTTTATTTTTTTGTTTCGTTTTGTTTTTTGGTCTTTCTCCGGAACCAAAACACGCTTCACCGGTATATGTGTAACGTATTTATTTTTATATGGCTACGTGTGTGTGGTTTAAATATATTAGCTCAGTCTGTTTTTATCAGATTTACTTGACTTGTATTCTTTTAAGTCGATCACCTGGGCAGATTCCTTCATTTCACGCTATTCATAATTTCCGGCTGCGTCATAACTTCATCGTATAAATCTGTATTTTCACCCTTTATTACATCTTGTCATTACCTCAGATAAAGAATGGACCATTCCAGTTTGACTGCAAAGAAAGACGGAAAAAATATATATATATCATAGAGGCTGATAGATAGGTATGTATGTATAATAATAATAATAATAATAATAATAATGAGATAGGACCTGTTACAATTCTATAAGACTATACAATACACACTGACAGAACAATCAAAGCCAATCGCCCAGATATTGTTATTAAAGACCACAAACAAAAACGGTGCCTCCTTGTTGATATGGCAATCCCTGCTGACTGCAATGTATCTTTGAAGATATTCAAAAAGCTGTCAAAATACATGTACCTTGAAATCTCGAAAATGTGGCATATGGGAACATCAACAATCCCTGTTGTAGTTGGAGTCCGAAGACTGGTTGGAAAATATTGCAGTAGAGTAATTGAAGGGATTCCTGGAAGTCCATGCCTCAAGGAGATACAAAAAATTGTTCTGACAAGTCTGTACTTTACGAAGGGCTTTATCTATGTAATTTTTTTTTTTTTTTTTGTCAGTGGAAAGTGTCGTGATGCCATTTCTAACCTTAGGTCTCTGGGCGGGACCCGGAAATAAATGTGTAAACGCCAGAAATCAAAGAAAATAATAATAATAATAATAATAATAATAATAATAATAATAATATGGGGTTACACCATCTTTACAGACAAGAAGATTGAAACAAATAAACCGAAAATAATTGTCAAAAACTGAAAAAAAACCCACTTTTGTTTATCCTTAATCCCTCTTACACATGAACTGAACAACAGTAGCTATGGTTACAAAATAAATAAGAAAATATTCAATCACCTACTCTACATGGATGATCTTAAACTCTTTGCCAAAGACGACAATGAGTTGAAAGGCCTCCTCAATATTGTAAAATACTTCAGTGACGACATAGGTATGGACTTCGGATTAGATAAATGTGCAAAAGTAACTTTCAAGAAAGGTAGAATTACAGAAACACCCTTAATAGATTTAGATTTTGTCACAAAGATTAGGGAACTGGAGTATGATGAAGCTTATAAGTACCTAGGAATTAGCGAAGGAGATGGAATACAACACCCCCAAATGAAGGAAAAATAAGAAAAGAGTACTACAGGTGTGTACGTATGGTACTAAATACTAATCTAAACTCAAAAAGCAGAATATCAGCCATAAACACATTGGCTGTCCCTGTGGTGCAATACAGCTTTAATGTCCTTAACTGAACCATAGCTGAAATTAAGCGAATGGACGCCAAAACGAGAAAGCTTCTCACTTGCTATCGCATACATCATCCCAAAGCTGATGTTGATCGTCTGTATGTGCCCAGATCCAAAGGAGGCAGAGGATTATTTCAACTAGAACTGTCCTACAAAACTACAACAATTGGCCTCCAAAGATACTTGGAAACTACAGAAGACTGGATGATGGTATGCGTCAAGGAACATGAAAGTAGTAAGCGTCTTTACTCCGTAATGAAAGAAGCCAACAAATTCAAAATGGAGTTTCAAATGGGTGTAGAGATGCAACTACAGCACAATACATTGGCTGAAACTGCAAAATACTTAAAAAGGACAGCAAAGACGAATGCAACCGACCAGATACAGAAGCGATGGCAAGATAAACCGCTTCATGGACAATACTCTGCCCGTAGCAAACAAGCTGACGTAGACAAAACCCGTACCCATCAGTGGCTACGTAGTGCAGGGTTGAACGCGGAAACTGAAGGTTTTATCCTTGCTGCGCAGAACCAATGCTTGCTAACTAGGAATTATCAAGCACATATACTAAAATATTGTGTCAGCCCAAAATGCAGATTCAGTGATAAATATCCAGAAACGATTGATCATCTTGTATCAGGTTGCACGATGTTGGCACCCACTGAATATAAAACCCGACATGACAGAGTGGGCCAATATCTGCACTGGAAAATCTGCAACTTCTACGGGAAGGAAACTGAAAGAAACTGGTATGAACACAACCCAGACCCGGTTACGGAGATAGGACCTGTTACAATTCTATGGGACTACACAATACACACTGACAGAACAATCAAGGCGAACCGGCCAGATATTGTTATCAAAGACCACAAACAAAAACGGTGCCTCCTTATTGATATGGCAGTCCCTGCTGACTGCAATGTATCTTTGAAGATATTCAAAAAGCTGTCAAAATACAAGGACCTTGAAATAGAAATCTCGAAAATGTGGCATATGGGAACATCAACAATCCCTGTTGTTGTTGGAGCCCTAGGACTGGTTGGAAAAGATTGCAGTTGACTAATTGAAGGGATTCCTGGAAGTCCATGCCTCAAGGAGATACAAAAAATTGTTCTGACAAGTACAGCCCACACTTTACGAAGGGTTTTATCTATGTAATTTTTTTTTTGTCAGTGGAAAGTGTTATGAGGCCATTTCTAACCTTAGGTCCCTGGGCGGGACCCGGAAATAAATGTGTAAACGCCAGAAATCAAAGAAAATAATAATAATATGGGATTACACCATCTTTACAGACAAGAAGATTGAAACAAATATATTTGTCAAATAATTGTCAAAAACTGAAAAGAAAACACTTGCCAACTAAATTGATATGGCTTGCCCAGCGAACATTGCAACCAAGGAATATGAAAAACTATCGAAGTACAACGGCCTGGAAATCGAAATAGAAAAGATGTGCAAGTTGAAAACAAAAATCGTTCCAGTCAAAAAAAAAAGTACACAACGACACATTGGAAAATCCCTGAAATCCTATCTTAGGAGAAATAAAAAAAAATGTCTTCATAAGTACATCCCACACACTAAGAAGAACTTTGTCCATGTAACGCTAGTGATGTTATAGGAGTTAGAAAAACAAATCATGAAATGTAGCTATATCAACACACCACTATCTAACTTAGGTCTTACCACTGAATTCGTAGGTAGTGTGACCATAGCAGAAGTTGAAATAATAATAAACAAAATGGTTGACATAACTCTTCCAATATTTTCAACACTTAAAGAACAATCTTCAAGAAGAGCGACATTTAATAAAAGAAAAGGAAAAACACAGTGTTCAACAATATTTTGACAGTATGCTCGTCTTCAGGTTATATTTTTTGTATACAGGTATAAAGATACGAAAAGATCTACAAGTCTTTGTACAAAAG